GCTGGTGCTACTTATACATGGAAAATGTATAGAAATGTTAATTACATTTAAATCTATTATTTAAAAATTGACTGTAAAAGTTAAATTTCAGTTGCCTTTATAAAATTTGCTGATATATTCATAGTAAAGAAATAACATATTTGCTATTTACATTCACAATGGTTGCAAAATAAATTTAGTCTTTCTGCTGTCCTTTCTACTGTTTGTTTGTTTGTTTATTTATTTATTTATTAATAAAATTTATATGCCGCCCAATCCCTAGGGACTCAGGGCAGCGTACAAAATTAAAACAATAAATATAACAATAAAAATGAGTACATTCACACAGCATGCCCCAATCGTATCCCGCCCCCCCTGGGGACATCAACCCCAGGCCTGCCAGAACAGGAGAGTTTTAATGGCTTTCTTGAAGGCTGGCAAGGTGGGAGTAGTTCGAATCTCGGGGGGAAGTTGATTCCACTACGTCGGAGCCACCACAGAAAAGGCCCTTCCCCGAGGGCCCATCAGCCGACATTGTCTGGCCGACGGGACCTGAAGGAGGCCCAATCTGTGGGACCTAACCGGTCTCTGGGAACTATGCGGCAGTATGCGGTCCTGTAAGTAACCTGGTCCTAAGCCATGAAGGGCTTTAAAGGTGACAACCAACACCTTGAATTGCGTCCGGAGACCCACAGGAAGCCAGTTCAGCTTGCAGAGGATAGGTGACATGTGGGTGTACCTTGGTGCACCCACAATCACTCTTGAGGCTGCATTCTGAACTAACTGCAGCCTCCGAACGCTCTTCAAGGGTAGCCCGATGTAGAGCACATTACAGTAATCCAGTCTTGAGGTGACAAGGGCATGAGTAACCGTGAGTAGAGCCTTCCGGTCCAAGCCTGGTGTACCAGGCGAACCTGGGCAAACGTCCCCCTGGCCACAGCCAATAGATGTTGTTCCAAATTTAGCTGTGAGTCCAGGAGGACACCCAAGTTGTGTGCCTGCACTGAGGGAGGTAAATTTACCCCCCCTAGGACTAATGATGGACCATCAGAATGACCATTGGGGGGCAAGACCCAGAGCCACTCAATCTTGTCAGAGTTGAGTCTAAGCCTGTTCACCCCCATCCAGACCTTCATATCTTCCAGGCACCGGCACATCACGTCGACTGCTTCACTGAAAGGACACGGGATGGAGATATATAATTGGGTATTATCCGCATACTGATGATATCTCACCCCATGTCGCCAAATGATCTCACCCAGCGGTTTCATGTAGATGTTAAAAAGGAGGGAGGACAGCACCGAGCCCTGAAGCACCCCATAATCGAGGCGCCTAGGGGTCGATCTCTGTCCGCCCGCCAACACCAACTGCGACCTGTCAGAGAGGTAGGAGAACCACCGCAATATGGTGCCGCCCACCCCCACTTCTCCGAGATGACGCAGAAGGATACCATGGTCGATGGTATCGAAAGCTGCTGAGAGGTCAAGAAGCACCAAGATAGAGGAATGAACCCTATCCCGGGCTCGCCAGAGGTCATCGGTCAGTGCGACCAAAGCAGTCTCAGTGCTGTAGCCAGGCCTGAAACCAGATTGAAAAGGGTCCAGATAATTCGTTTCATCCAAGGATCGCAAGAGTTGGGATGCCACCACCTTCTCTACAACCTTCCCCACAAAGGGGAGGTTGGAGACAGGACAAAAGTTCTTCAAAACAGCTGGGTCCAGGGAAGGCTTCTTGAGGAGGTTTTCCATATGTTCTGTATACAACTCTGAATAAAAATGATTTTGTGGAATCCCTTTGAACAAAGTACATATGACAGTGAAGTATTACTTGATGTTTGCAATTTCATTGGAACCCTGGAGGTGAAATAATTCAATATTGATACATGCAGTAACAGACAAATTAACCTTTCCTTCCTAGGTCACAATCCCATTAAAAATCCTCCTATCATACTACCAGCATAGAATGACTTAATTCTGAAAATTTGTCCCTTGTTATTTTTTTAAAAATGGTAAATAAATCACCTATTTTAAAGAGGACATTTAGGTTATTGAGTCCAACATACCTTCCCTCCAAGACATTAATTAAAGCATCCTCAAAAGATCAGTTTCTGCATTCTGCTTTAGCACATCAAAAGAGAGGATCATCTCCTTTGGTAATTGGTACTACTATTGAACTGCTCTTACTATACTAGCAGATTCTTCATCATATTCAACCAGAAATTGTATTCCTGTAACTTAAGATATTTACACTGAATCAGGCACTGTGGAATGATAAAAAGCATTTTTTATATGACAGGTTACAAGGAACTTGATTTTTTTTCTTTTTGCAAGGCTAAACATTCCCAATTATTTCAGTCTTTTCCCATAGCATTACTTTCCAATCTTCTAGTTATCTTTACACGTTTCTGCTCTGTTCCAGTTTCTCTCATTCTTTAAAATGTATCTAGAACAAAGCAGAAAATGTATCTTATCAAAGCAGAATGAAGTAAAACAATTTATTTCTCTGACTTAGAAAGTATACCTTTATTGATCTAACATAAAATTGCTTTTGCTTTTTACAATTGTTGCAATGCTAACTCTTTGTCAGGTTGTGATAAATCGCAATTTTAAGACCCTTTTCATATATGCTATTCTCAGACCAGTGTCATTTGAATTCTTTTGGTTTTGTGAAAAATTTCCATTTATCATGATTTAAATTTCATTCTGGTATTTTCAATCATTCCAGTAACCAATCATTTTGAATATTGTCTTTGCTTTTAGAATATTAGCTATCCCGCAGAATGTTATGTTGTCTGCCAGTTTGAAAATATTCTATCTCTTTATCCAAAATTTAATGCAAATGTTAAGAAGTACTTAGTCCTTGACTGAATATTATGACCTGACATGATAATCTTATTTCTGTTTGTTGAGGAATGTTGATGAACACTCTATCATTTTTTATATCTGCAAATCATCCTAATAACTGTTAGCATTGTTTATTAGTTCATGTTATCTGAATGTCTCATTCTGGAGAAAGTAAATCTATCTGGTCACTAAGAATCAATGTTGAATGTCATGGGATATTTTGTCAAATGCTTTAGTATTTTTACAGTCTACTAAGAAAGTTACCTGTTTGGAAAAAAAAATCATCTGACACAAGTTTTTATCAAATTTCTACAAATAATTTATAACAAAATTTGGTCAATTGTCTATTTTTAGAGGACTGGTTTCTAATTCCTTGAAAAGGACTTTTTTCCGTTTTGAAGTTAGGGAAAATCTTTGCCTCCTTCCAATCATTTGATGCTTTGTAAAGTTAATTTTCCTGAACTTCTTAGTAATAATGGATACTGGTTTGGAATGGAATAGAATGCATTTCATCTGGCTCTGTAGATGTAGATTCATTCAAGATCAATAGATATATTCTCTGGCTTTATTTCTATCAAGCTCTTGTTCCTTCAGCTACTATCACAATTATTTGATGAAGTGCATATCCACTTGACATCCTTCCAGTCAATGCATTAAGCATGTGTGGATTGACTCAAGCAGTCCTATTAGCTATTAACAAGGAGCCTACGGGAATACTTGGTCATGTGCAAGTTTAATGCTTAGCATTAGTGCTTTAGGGAATTTATTCTGTATAATGATTTATATGCAATTCCTTGGTATACTTTATAACAACCATTTAAATTAAGCCATTATCTTCTAGGTAATATAGCCGAAACAGGAAACCAAAATAACTTCCTAAAGGCCATATTTTGAATTCAAATAGAGATACATTTTAACTGAGAATTTCTTCAGTTTAATCTTCTTTGTTGTCCAGAGTCCATAAATGTTCAATGAACGCTGCTGTAATATTCCATCCTTTTATCTTACTGGGGTACTTGAATCATTGTTTCTTGATGTTATAAGTAAAAGCAACATGTCTTCATTCTTTTTCCCCAATGAGCTATTATCTTCCCCACACTGAAACAGAGTCAGGAGAAGAAGACTTAGCTCTTGCAACTCAGAATGATGAAATTGACAACCTTTATGGAAAAAAAAAAGACTTTGATAAATGTTATTTCTACTTGGAAACTATTTTTGGACTTTTTATGAGAAACTAAAAGGAATGAAATGTTGATTTTAGGATTTGATGATTATAATTATATGGAATTATGGAAGTAATACAAATGTTAAACTTAAATAAGTGTTCAGTTATTTTTTTTACTTATATTTGTACCAAGGAAAGTCAGAAGTCATTTATTTACTATTTTTTTATCTTTCTTTCTTGCATGTTCACTTTTTTCTTGCCTGAGCTTTTTTTTTTTTCAGATCGTTTTCCTCTTTATCTTTTAACTTTGTATTTTCAAAATTGTGTGTGTGTGTGTTAATGTGTATGTATATATGTATATTATATATGTATGTATGTATATCACTAATAACACTGTCACATAAATTGTAGACCAGAACTAAATATAGTAAGTTCTGGGTCCACTTTTAACAAGCTAAAACTTCTCAAAATCTGACCGGCTATTCATTATTATCATGTAGCAAATAAGCCAATATTCAATTTAAAAAAAAAAAATTGGCAGAAGAGCATTTTGGAAGTACTAGAAATACTAAGAATGTAAGAATAGATATGGTGAATCAGGACCTGTCCAGTCTTATTCCAGCTTTTTGTTTCCATCAGTGACCAACTACTTAATTTAATGAGTGATCCACTCATATTGACAAAACTCTAGTTTTTTTCTAGTCCTGTTGATATACCCATATCAAAGTATATAATTTTATCTATAACTTAATAATCATAAAGTGAAAGTTAACAGTGATCTATCAAGTAGATTGATTATTAGTTGTTATTAGATGGGTTCATTTTGGTTATTTGAGCCACACTATAATTTTCATATTATTTTAGTAATATTATTTTAAACCAAAGAATATATTGCAAAATAAACTTAGAATAGATATTCCATTCTCATAAATGATATTACAGCATATATTGCATCTTTAATTTGAATGATTAAAATAGTTTGTGACATTGCCCCATGTTTTGTTCCATTGTAGACAATGAATACAAAAGAAGAATATGAACACAGAAAAGATAAGGAAAGTTACCTATGTGCAGTTTGCTTGGATATCTACTTCAATCCTTACAAGTGCTACCCATGCCATCATATTTTCTGCGAACCTTGCTTACGTATGCTTGCCAAGGATAATCCAACTAGCACCCCATGTCCTCTCTGCCGTACTGCAATTACCCATGTTTTTTTTCAATCAGGTGAAAAGCTTTCTTAAAATACATAAACTATTGCCTATATTTCCAATTAGTACTAATATTCCAACTATCTATCCTTCTCAAGAAAATGTTCAGTATTAATTGTATTCCAAATAACGGAATGTATACTAATAACATACAGCCAACGAAAATAGGATTAAATTAGATGTGGTGCAAGCTGATATGTGTTTCTAAGTATATCTGTCTCAGTGGCATCAGTGGCAATGTCACATAGAGTTAATATGTAAAGATCTGAATGTATTTCAGTCAAAATTGTTCAGCTACTGGCACATCTTTATGGCAAAATCCAGAATGCATGTAGCAGGTATTACATTCTTCCCAATTATCATTTATATGCATAGTCTGCCCTTCCAAATATTTTTGTTTTATTTATTAAATGTACATGCTGCCCATCTCTCTATCAAGTGCCTGTAGTCAGCTTAATTTTTAACTAGGCTTATATGTGAGGATTTCTCAGTAGTGAGAAATGAAAAGAAAACACTTGTGCAGTTAAACTATGATGAGGCAAGCGTTTCTCAGAGACCCCTTCCATTTATATAAGTAGGTTGAAGTAAGTTTTAGTATGTGAAACCATTTCCTACCAAATTAGCTTAGTTTTAGCATTTACTGCTTTCCTTCATTGCCTCCTTGACTTGCATAGAGATTGTGGTAAATTAAAATTAACCACAGATTCTCAAGTGCAATAGCCTCATAATCATTAAAAACCTAGTAATATGGAATCTTCAACTCTTTCAGTTTGAACAAATCCAGACATGCATATGATGCCTTCAGTACATAATAATCTACCTTTTTCCAAGAGCTAATGAAGTTACCACCAAAGTATTCCCCTTTAGTAGCATTAAATTGTGTAGAAGTAGAATATAATCTTTAAATGCAGTATTTCAAATCAAACTATAAGCCTCTAAGGCAGTAACAGTGGAAAGAGTACTTGGCAATATATAGCAATTGAACATCTAGCTAATTATTTATTGCATTGTCCACTATACACAAAAATCATAGATTATCTTTTGGGAACTTTTATCAAGACAAGAAGATTTTTTTCTTATTCCATATTAAAAAAATTTCTGGATAAGAGGAAAAACACATTAAACACATTGTGAAAAACAATGGAAAATTGATACCAATATTTTTATTACTAAATAAAGATTGCTAACACGTTCTATATTTTTTCTTCTTATATATTGTAGAACTGAACAATTCCACAGAAACTTTCTTTCCAATGGAATATTCAAAATTAAAGGAAAATTTTCAAAAATCAAATTTAGCAAATTGGCCTCTCCCCAGTTGCAAAAAAGTATTCAGAGTTATTGATGGTAAGTAAATTGTTAATGATTATTTTACATTAGAAATTCATTAATTTAAAAGTTAAATATTCAAGGACATGCATGACCTAATCATACTTTATTCTCTATGAGGATTTGTTTTTAATGAATTTTTATCTATGCCTGATCTGAAGGTAATACCATGACCTATATAGAATTGCAGTAGAGACAATACAAGTTGAGTTTTTGTTTGAATTTACACTATACATTTGCATGCTTGAGTAGGCACTCTCAGAACATTCTAGCTGAGTTGTTTAAGGCAAGAAGATATCCCATTTTAATACATGTGCCAGTATCGAAAAGGGAAACTCATGAATTTTCTTATTTCCTTGAATTGATGCAAAACCTCAAGACAGTTATTGCCTATGTGGTAAGAATGGTAAATTGCTGAATGCATGGATAACTATTCAAAGACCAACAGTTGCAAATATGCAATACTGCATCATAAAGGCAGTGAGTAACAAGATATGCTTACAATATCTCAGTAGGCAGTTATGAAGATTAGAAGATAGTATTGCTGACCTGCATTAAATCTTGTGTATAAAACTGAGTAAAAATTAAGAATTGCAAACAGAGTATAGATCAACAAATATCTGATAGCTAAATTTATTAGAAGAAGGCAGTAAAAACCATGATAGCTCCACTAAAATGAGAGGTAAACTTACTGCTAGCTAGTACACCGGGTATATAATAGTTGTTACCCAGCCAGCAAGATATTGTGATGAAATTGGGATAAGGGATAAGAGACAGATTGAGAGCTGAGATACAATAAAGAAAAATAAGTACAGGTAAAAATAAGGCTCCATAAACATCAAGGAGATGAAAGGAAACTTCTAACAATGTAGAAACAAACAAATATAGGTAAAACAGTGCTCTGAATGACATAGTAGTGAGTCATCACTTTAAACAAGAGTATGCAGGTTGCACAACAGGCTACAAAAATAGAAGAAAATTTCAAACCAGATCATGAAACGCTAAATAATAAGCACAATAATAAAGAGTAATTCTTCATAATGCAAAAAAATGAATAGCCTTCTAGATTATAATGTCTTGGTAAGGCCACACTTGGAATACTGCATCCAGTTTTGGTCACAACGATGTAAAAAAGATGTTGAGACTCTAGAAAGAGTACAGAAAAGAGCAACAAAGATGATTAGGGGACTGGAGGCTAAAGCATATAAGGAACAGCTGCTGGAATTGGGTATGTCTAGTTTAATGAAGAGAAGGATGAGGGGCGACATGATAGCAGTGTTCCAATATCTCAGAAGTTGCCACAAAGAAGAGGGAGCCAAGCTATTCTCCAAAGCACCTGAAGGCAGGACAAGAAACAATGGATGGAAACTAATCAAGGAGAGAAGCAACCTAAAACTAAGGAGAAAAATGAATCAGTGGAATAACCTGCCTCCAGAAATTGTGAATGCTCCAATACTGGAGATTTTTAAGAAGAGACTGGACAACCATTTGTCTGAAATGGTATAGGGTTTCCTGCCTGAATAGGGGGTTGGACTAGAAGATCTCTAAGGTCCATTACAACTTTATTATTATTATTATTATTATTATTATTATTATTATTATTATTAAGGATCTTAAAGCAGCATAAGATTTGGTGCAGAAGAACATCAAGTGACTCTCACTTCTCCTATTATAGGTGTAGAAGTAGGCAATGATCTGTGGGTAGAGCTATCAGTTACCTCTCTGGGAATCACATTAATTTTTTTTCCTCCTACTGCCTTCTATAAAGAGTTGTCTAATTTTATTGTTGTCATTGTCAGCCATCCAGTTATGTTTGACCCTCAGCCACTCTATGGATCAGCATTCTCATAATCCTCTGTCTCATATTGCCTTCTTCAGATCCACCATGGTCATCCCGTCATCCTTTATAATGTCCAGCCAGCTGGTACTAGTGGGGTTCCCCTCTCCTTTTTCCGCTGACTCCCAGCATGATTGACTTTTTGAGTGAATCAGCTCTCATGACAGGACCAAAATATGACAGCCTTTGTTAGGCAAAGCGAGTTTTGGCCTAGGACTTCTTTGTTTGTTATATTTGCAGTTCATCGGATGCGTAATAGTTGCCTCCAGCACCACAATTCATAATTAACATAACATAATTAACATAACTTTATAGTACTAAAAGTGTAATATGAAAGCTACAATTTTAACTGTAGCCATATTCCTAATCTGTTTGATCTGTATGTCTTTGGGATTATCAGATACCTTGGAGTTTATTAGCCTAAAATATCTATATTATTTCTTGACTGATGACAAATAAAAGCAAGCGCTAACCGTGGCTTAGAACCTTCCAGATTTTTTGTTGGTACTGTCAGAATGTGAATTTATAACTGAATATTTGAATCTAAGTCAGGTACTGGTTTAGCATTATTTGACACTCCATTCTAAAACATCCAAACTTTTTGCTGAAAGATTCAAAACCAACCACTGTATATAAAACTGTTTCCCAGAACAGAACATTAATTAGGATAGTCGTGACTGGTGTTTTGAGACTGAAAATAGGAAGAACTTACTGTGGTCTATGGTACATTTATTACTTTTATCTTCAGGGAAAACTAACCAAAACCAGACTTGTCTGAGGTATTCATATTTTAGAAAATCTTTGTAATAAAAGGATTTCATCCTTTCACAAAACCTTATGATCATTTTGAAGCTCCAATCAAAAGTAGAAAAATATTATATACCAACCAATGTGCTGGTAGCTGTTTATTAATAAGAGCAAAATAAGCATTGAAGTGAATAGCAGTCTTCATACTTCTAGAACAGGGGTCACCAACCTTTCTGGATTGGTGGCCCAGGGCACTTTATGCATGCAAGCACACGCATGCGCAAACGAGGCCACATGCGCATGAACAGGGCCATGATTGAGCATGTGACGCAAATGGGGCACGAGCACCTGTGCAATGCTCGGGTGATGCTAGCGCCCTTACGATGCTGTGATGCTAGCATGAATGGGGATGTTGTGCTAGCAACGCTAGCACCAGCATCTAGACTGAGTGGGGAGATGCACTTGTGGCAATGCTAACACCCGCACTATGCTCACGGCATTGCTAGTGTCTGTGCAACGCCACAACACTAGCCAGCTACTCACACAGCCTAGTGGCCAACAGCCCTGATAGTGGGCCATGGACCGCAGGTTGGTGACCACTGTTCTAGAATGTCTACTTCAACAAATATTATAATAATAATCCTAACTTTTTTCACTTTTACACTTTCCTCATTCGGATTCAATATTTTTTAATTGTTTGTTTGGGGAATCTTTCCAGCTTCTAAACACCTTTATGAAAATTGGAAGAAAAATTAAATAAAGCTGAACTTGTGCCAAATACAGTTTAGAAGTCTTTGGCTATCTTTTTTCGTAGCCAATTGAAAGCGATACCATACTTTGTTTTCTTTAATACATTCAACTTACAGCCTGTGATCCCCTTCTCTATTCAACACTTACTTTCCTCCTTATTAAACATTTTCTAAATATAAATTATATATATTTGAATTTAAATCCATCCTTCAAACTACTGCCAGTGTTACACATTTTAGCAGCACCGATACAAATCTACAGGATTAATGAAAATTAGTGTTCATCAAAAAGCAAAATCTTCAAAGAGTATCTCTGTAATGCTGTATACTTATTGGGAAATTACTTGGCATCTATTCTTTCTAAATTGTATCTCTTACAATGATAAAATATTTATAGCGTCTCTAAAGTCTTTTAGGTCATTCCTCCCAGAGGCTCTGTGGGTTATATTTTAAACATAATGGATTGTATTTCTTTTCTCACCTTTCTAGACTTTCAAAACATTCAGAGTACATAGGTTTTATTGCTACACATTGTGATTTTTTTCTTAATAACCTATATTCTCATTATTAAATTTCTTTTACTTTTCTAGGTAGTTATTTCTTAAAATCAGTGTTGAAAAGAATAATCTGTAGTGCAAAATTAACATTATTTTCCAATATAAATTGATGTCTCAGTATAAATTGACAGCAAAATTTGTGAAGTAGTACCCTTTTCTGACCCAATTTATGATTGTTTCAATTTACAACCATGATGAGCAGGTTTCATTAGGGTCATAAGTCAAGGACTAGCTATAGTTAAATTTAGGGAACAAAAAAACATACTATATCTCCATGTTGATTACACATCAAATTTATGTTTTAATGTCATTTGTAATCTAAATGTAAATACTTGGAAAATGGATGTATACATACTGTACATATTGACCAAATCATTGAAAGATACACTTATTCATCTACTATTTGTAGTATTTATCCTAATAGCTACTGTTGGCAATAGTCAAAGAATTTCCCTCTTTGAGATCCATTACATTCCTAAACTGAAGTTGTTAAAGTCTATTATAATTTTCAATCTCCTGCCATACCTTCCCATGCCTGATATCACCATGATGTTGTGGCCTGTCTCCCTTCCCCATCCATGGAAGCCCATTCCCCCACACCAGGCCCAGGATCAGGAACTTCTCAATGTCATCCTCAGCCATCCAGAGAAGCCCTGCCCCAAGACACTATAGCAGTGATGGCGAACCTTTTAGAGATTGTGCCCCAAAACTGCCCACCCACCCCCCATCCAGTCGCTCTGCCCTGCCCATTCCACCCCCACCCCACCTGCCAGGCCACCCACCGCCTCCACAGCTCGCTGCAAATCGCTCAGGCAGCCCTGCAGCACCATGATGGACACGCCCTCCATCCGTGCCCAACAGCATCATCTGCGTGTGATGGGGCGTGAGGGCGGAGTCTTGTCCCTGCTGCCCAGGTGCCATGTTTTTGGCTGCGCTGATCCACACCCGGGGGCGACTCTCCTCTGGGGGGCTGATGATGAGGGGGCCACGGGGGGAGGCAGGGCTGAGACGATAGCACGTGTGCCCACAGAGAGGGCTCTGAGTGCCGCCTCTGGCACGTGTACCATAGGTTCATCACCACTGCACTATAGCATCATCAACTCTCAGCATCATCAGAATACTCAGCCA